CGAACGTGCTCAGCCCCGGATCCTTCTTGCACTCTTTCACTGGTCTTCGAAAAAGAGCTGGAAGCAAGAAGTCTGGTCTGAGCCGGGCGTTGGTGGCATTGCATGCCTTTAGTCCCAGCACTCGGGAGGCAGAGGCAGGAGGATCTCTGTGAGTTCGAGACCAGCCTGGTCTCCAGAGCGAGCGCCAGGATAGGCTCCAAAGCTACACAGAGAAACCCTGTCTCGAAAAACCAAAAAATAAAAAATTAAAAAAAAATGTCCTTGTCTGTCCAGGAATACCGAATGGAGGGGAGGGGCTCAGGAAGAGGCAGCCCAGACTTAAGCCAGAGTAGCAGGGCCTTCATTTGTAGTGGGCAGGGCTTGGAGAGGACTCAGAGACCGCCTTCAGATTAGGAGGAGGAGGGTTTGTAGACAGGGAGGAATTTAAAGGGCAGTGGCTGTGGCCTGGTGGTGGGCGTGTCAGCGTTGGGAGGGTCTCCTAGAGGACACGAGTTTCTGAGCCCAGAGAGCTAAGGGAAGGCACGGCCAGTGGGGAGGCGACTCTTAACCTGCTTCTGCGTCTCTTTTCTACTCCAGAGAAAGCCCCAAACCACCACTGGGCCTGCCGCCATGGATGAGTCCTCGCTGCCTGTGGTTCCGGCCCCTATTGTTGCCCCGGGGCCAGCGCCATCTGCCACCACTCCCCGGGTCCCCTTTCACTGCAGCGAATGTGGCAAGAGCTTCCGCTACCGATCGGACCTGCGGCGCCACTTTGCTCGGCACACGGCGCTCAAGCCCCACGCGTGCCCTCGCTGCGGCAAGGGCTTCAAGCACAGCTTCAACCTAGCCAACCACCTGCGCTCACACACCGGCGAGCGGCCCTACCGATGCTCCGCCTGCCCTAAGGGATTCCGAGACTCCACTGGCCTGCTGCACCACCAGGTGAGTCCTGGGAGCCACACAGGGCGGAGACCCTGGGGCTGCATTGCACTTGGGGAAAGGCACACCCCTTCCCTAGCTTCCTCCTTCTCAGAGAAAATTTCACTTTGCTTTCTACCAAAAACCAAAGCATGAGCTCCAGGGAAGGCCTGCAGAGTGAGTCTGCCCCGCAGAATTGTGTCTCCGCCTCTCCTGCTGATGTCTCTGTGGCCTTGTGTTTACAATTCTCTTCCTTGCCGTCTTGAAAGTAGGTTTATCCATGTGCACCCAACTCCTTTGTTCTGACCAGGAGTCAGATAGAGGGTAAAGAAAGTAGTTCTCTAAGGGAGAAGTTGGGAAGCAAATTAAAAAAAAAAAAAATTCAGGGCATGGAGATGCATCCTTATAATCCCAGTGATTGGGAGGAGACAGGAGGGTCAGTGAAGATGGAGTTTTTCTGTCCCACCTGCTCCCACAGCCATTTCAGCCCCAAATAAACACACGGACACCATATTAATTATAAAACTGTTTGGCCAATGGCTTAGGCTCCTTATTGGCTAGCTCTGTCTTTATTATTAATACGTTTCTGTTAGTCTGTGTATTGCCACAAGGCTGTGATTTCCCCATAATCCACCATGTTACTCCATTGGCAGCACGCCGTCCTTCTCCGCCTTCCTCTCCTTAGCCCCACCTAACTTCTGCCTCTCCTGACCAATCAGTATTTTATTCATCAACCAATAAGAGAAACATATATACAGAAGGACATCCCCCATCAGATCAGGAGTTCAAGATTATCCTCAGCCACGCAGTGAGTTTGAGGCCAGTTTAGGCTATGTGAGATGCCGTCACGAACAACGTAACAAAGATTAGTGTGTAGGGGTAAGTCGGGAGAGCTGCGGGTTACTGTAGACAAGAGGGCACGGTAATGTCTAATTGAGGCCTGAAGTGTGGGGCGTCCACTTGGGGAAAGCATTGTAGATGAAAACAACATGCAAATGCAAAGGCCGCAAGGTGCGAAGGACCTTGGTGTGTTCACAGGTATCACAATAACTTTTCCTGGTGAGACACAAGCTAACACACCAGCAAAAGACCAACATATAGTTGCAGCAAAGTTCGATTTCTCAAATCAGAGTTTAATCGGGTTTACTCAGAGAGCACAGTTAAGGGTTTACAGCAGTGTGTGTGACCCTCACAAAGGCCCATGCCATCATGGATGATGGTCTGGTGAATGCTGCATAGTGGAGTCCCACGGTCAGTTATCTTCCACTTCCTGATATTCTAATACCTCCCAAGGTCCCTTGCAGCTGGGGAGAGTCACAGCTGGACTCCCTTGCAGCTGGGGAGAGTCACAGCTGGACTCCCTTGCAGCTGGGGAGAGTCACAGCTGGACTCCCTTGCAGCTGGGGAGAGTCACAGCTGGACTCCCATGCAGCTGGGGAGAGTCACAGCTGGACTCCCAGGAGCTGCCTTGGCTTCCTGGCTCAGGTGATCTCCAAAATAGAAAACAAACAAATAAAAGCAACCGTTATCATAACACATACACTGTTGGGGACCTGCCTGGTTGGGACAAGGTTCAGGGCACTGTGAAGTAGTCCATTTTGCAAAGGGAAAAAACTGAGTGTTCACAGAGAAGAGGGAGATGGGTTCTGAACTCAGGCCTATGGATGCCTAGCGCCCTGGCCATAGCTATGCTCTGTGGGAATCAGTTCCTAGATGAGCCGGTTGAAAAGGGAACAGTGTGTATACAGAGGCCGCCAGTGTCAGGGGCTAGGTCAGCACTGAGAGAGTGCCAGCTGGCCTGTAGCAGGGCTGTGGCTGGGGAGTTGGGGTCCCCTTTTGTAGGTTCCTACTCTCTTAGAGAAAAGAATTTAAAAGCAGAGTTAGACAGTGAGAATCATCTTATTAGAACTGGAAAGAAAAACCATAGGAAAGGCCAGCTGTCAATCTTGGCAGCTTTGGGGTGGGCTGTGGGCTGGAGAGGCAGTAAGAGGAGCAGAGAAAGACACTCCTTTTAAGTTAGTCCAGTAGAGAAGGCAGGCTCATCAGTGAAGGTCTGGTAGCAGCTACGTGGGAGGGGCCTCTTCAGACACAGTGAAGAAGTCCAGAGTGTGAGGATTTGGACTGTATCCAGAGAAGGGACAGAAAGTAGAAAGGGAGCCGGGCGGTGGTGGCGCAGGCCCTTAATCCCAGCACTCTGGAGACAGAGGCAGGCAGATCTCCAAGTTCGAGGCCAGCCTGGTCTACAGGGCAAGTTCCAGGGCAGTCAGAGCTGTCACACAGAGAAACCCTGTCGTGTTTGTGTGTGTGTGTGTGTGGGGGGGGGGGGGGGAGACAGACGGCCAGAAAAGAACTGAGAAAATCACACAGCCCAGGGAGGGCTTATGAAGAGGGTGTCCTTGAAGGAGATAATATTCCTCCCATCTCCTTAGCTGTTTCTTGACCAGGTAACTGGCAGGCCCAGTTGGATTAACTCTGAGGGAGAAATATGAGACAGTAATATGTAGTGTTTGAGGCAAGATAGAACATAGTGTTCTCACCCAGGACCCAAAGTAGAATTTAGATTCAGCTTTTAGATTTTTGTATTTATTAGGTGTGGGGTGTTTGGCTGGCGTGTACGGCTCTGTGCTACCGTATTCATTCCCCATGCTCCAGTAGGTAAAGAGAGATCATTGGATCCCCTAGAACTGGAGCTGCAGACAGCTGCGAGCTGCCACGTGGGTGCTGGGAATTGAACCCAGGTCCTTGGCAGGAGCAACAATTGCTCTTAACTGCTAAACCAATCTTTTGAGCTCCCCTATTCTTTCCATAAAATATTTTTTATTTCATTACTTGTTGATGTTTGGTTGATTGCTTTGTGACAGGTTTTCACCATGTAAGCCTGACCGGTCTCCAGCTCACAAGCTTGGCCCGCCTCTGCCCCCTGCCTCCCAAGTGCTGGAATTGCAGGCTGGAGCCAACATGCCCCACTCTTAATTTTATGCAGGGTAGGAC